CTGTTAAGAACTGTGTGTAGTGTTCTGCAAAAAGTATTATGTTCAGTTGCAACATGGGTGCAAAGCAGAAAACATGTTTACAGTTTTGGAGAGTTGAGCTGAATTTTTGCCAAATGTGTCATTTTATTGTGTTAGCAACTGAACAGAACTGTAAAAGCAGACACACTTGCAGTGTACACATTCACTTTACCCATGGCTCAATCCACTATGGGGATACATGTGAATGCAATTTGTGCTTCCAATTAAACTATCGACCTTCACTCTAGAATGCAAAACTTGATTTTGTATCATCCTCTCCTGGATAGCTATTATTACCCAGCCAGCACAGTAATAGAGAGACTATGGCTTTACAACACACTGATGAGGATCATTGAAGTCAGCAAAATAATTACATTTATCACACTGTCAGTTTTTGGGGGGGGTGACTGCTTGACCTTGTGTTATGACATTGTAATTGAGCTCTGAATCGGTCTCCTATCAGTGGCTGTTAATGCTTCTACAGCTTGATTAGAGTCCACCTGTGCCTAATTGAATGCATTGGCTATAATTAGAAAGGCATACACCTGTCTATATAAGGTCTTACAGTTTATGGTGTATGTCAGAGTGAAAACAAAGCTATGAGGTCAAGAAAACTGTCCACAGACCTGCGAGACAGGATTGTGTCAAGACATAGACCTGGGGCAGGATACAAGAAAATGTCTGCAGCATTGAATGTGTCCAAGAGCACAGTACCCTCCTTTATTCTCAAATGGAAGAGATTTGGATCCACCACCAGTCTTCATAGATCTGGCCGCCCAGCCAGGCTGAGTGATCGGGGACGAAGGCCTTGGTCAGACAGGTAACCAAGAACCCAAGGGTCACTATGAATGAGTTCCAGAGTTACTTTCTGTAGATGGGATAACCATCAGCCCAGCGCTCCACCCATCAGGCCTCTATGGTAGAGCGGCCAGATGGAGGCCATTCCTCACTAAAAGACACATGACAGCCCCCTGGGAGGTTACCAAAAGATACCTGAGGGACTCTCAGATCATGAGAAGCAAAATACTCTGGTCTGATGAAACAAAAATTGAACTGTTTTGCCACAATTCCCAACAGTGTGTGTGGAGAAAACCAGGCACTAAGCATCACCTCACTATTACAATCCCTACAGTCAAACACGGTGGTGGTGGCGGCATCAGGCTGTGGGGAGGTTTTTCTGGGACTGGGAGACTAGTCAGGACAGAGGGAAGGATGGATGCAGAGAAACATAAAGCAATTCTAAATGAAAACCTTCTCCAGAGTGCTCAGGATGTCAGGCTGGGGCAAAAGTTGACATTTCAACCAGACAACAACCTTAAGCATAACACCAAGGAAATACAGGAGTGGCTTCAGGAAAACTCAGTGAAAGTCCTTAGAGTGGCCCAGCCAGAGTTTGGTTGTGATCCCAGTAGAACATGTGTGGAGAAACCTGAAAATGGCTGTGCACCACCGCTCCTCATCCAACCTGGTTGACCTGGAACAATTCTGTCAAGACAAATGGAAGAAAATTCCAAAAGCAAGGTGCCGAGCCTGTAGCTTCATTCTCAGGAAGACTTGAGGCTGTTATTGCTGCCAAAACTGCTTTAATCAAGTACTAAGTGAGGGGTCTGAATACTTATGTAAATGGGATATTTCAGTCTTTTATTTTTAATTACTTTTCAAAACCTGTTTTCACTTTGTCATTGTGGAGCATTGTGTGTAGATTGATGAGGAAAAAAATTTAACTGAATCCATTTTAAGATGAATCTGAAACATAACAAAATGTGGAAAACTACCAAGGGCCTGAAAACTTTCCACACTAACTGTAAATGTTACATTTAGGGGTTCCAGTGATATTCTGGACAGGTTGAACGTGGCGTGGAATCCAGCCAGTGAAACAAGACAGGGGTAGTAAGGGAAGGGGAGGTACTACCATATACAGGTCTGGACTGCAGTGGTTATCCTGGCAAAACAACCTTGGCCTCAACAGGAATGCACAAACAAATCTAATATTTGACTCCTGTCCCATTTATTTCTTGCATAAATATAGGCGGAGATTTATGTTCATTTTCTGAAACAACTAAAGCCTCTGCATAAAATCAGTGAAGTGCATCCCAGTGTAAGAGCATTGATTAAAAAGTTTGGATGCCTGCTGAAATCAAAGAGGATGAAAAAAGTATTTCATGGAACATGTTTTCTGTTAACTGAGTCCACTGACTGGAGGGGAAGAGAAAGCCACCACAGAATACTGAGTTGGACTGGTTTTTGATTGGTCTGGCATCAGCTGTGCGGTTCTATGGGCGAGCACAAAGAGAATGCTGCGGTTACTCTTGGACCACCACTGTCAGACTTCCATGTAATGTTCTAGTGCTTAGCATCTGTGGTTCAGTTCATCTGCTGGAATTATGAGTTAGCTTTGTTAAGGAGCTGTAGCGAGGTCCTGTCAGGACACTGACTGTTTGTACAGCTCCAGCTCACAAACCGAGACTGGACAAAACCATCCCCACCATCCTCCTAAATTCTATTGTGTGTGTGTGTGTGTGTGTGTGTGTGTGTGTGTGTGTGTGTGTGTGTGTGTGTGTGCTCTTTAGCCTCAAATTAAAATTGACCTTGGGTTTGAGTTTTGCTTTTTCTCTCACATATTGCACTTTTTCTTGTGTTGTTTGTGCACTGTGGATTGTCAGCACTGTTATTTTCATTTGTGTGGAGGAGTCTGCTCACAGCAGAGCAAACACAGCCCAGCGTCGGCAGAATGTTTTGTTTGCTGAGCCCATCACCTCGCAGCAAGTATTTGCACCTCGTCCTCTTTACCGACAACCTGATGGTTTATCTGTGGGAACTGAATATGTTACTGAACAGCTCGGCGATGCAGCTGGCTATTAAGCACATCACGGACCAGTAACATCTGAATCTTTGACTGCAGTTGCGCAACATCCATTTGCTCTCTCCCCAGCTCAACTCTTCACCTTTAAGTAACAAAAATGCCATGGGCTGAAAAGTCCACTGGTTCAGCATCACTGCTGGAAGTAGATGTATAAAATGACATGTTTGTGAAATGACTGACCTTTTGATGTTTCAGTAATGCAGCATACATTTATCCCCATGAATGCGCATGTCAACCAGCGATGGCATGTGCAAACCTCAAGTCTAATATTTTCATATAAATTTTATATTACACCACATTAATATCTATGCAGTGATGGGGAGTAGCAGAGGACATGTAATTACAGTAGTTTAACTACATTATGCAGCAGCGTACTGGTGATTTGCATAGTAATTCAATTTGGGGCAATAAAAGTAACAATGGGCTTTCAGCTCACCTATGAAAAATACATGGCTATGGTTTTGAATGTTTTGATTCTGACCTTGTAAAGCTATACTTGAATATACTGGGTGTCAGTTAGTGATAATAAGTATTGATTATTGCTATTTGTCAACACATGTTCAGGGAAGTTGTTGCATAGTGTTTCGGATATTGATTCCTACTTGGTGCAATACCCTCACCTGTCTGGTGTCTGACTGATGGACCAAAGTTGACATTCCTCGCACTTGTCACTTTGGTCATTTTCACAGACTGGTTTGACCTATTTTTCTAAGTAGCTTTAGTTCATCAAACTAGATTTCTCACTAGGGTAGCTTTGCTGTAGTTCAGCTTCTTCCAATGTGAAGTAGTAGCTTCCCCAGTGCTGTACCTATGCAAATACTCTCGTTTCCTATGATAAACAGTCATGTGCCATGAAGTTGTCTTTTAATAAAGATGAATTAGGAAAGACTAGTTGTATGAAAAGAGCAATCTATACATGTGGAACTGTATGTGTATGGCTAAGGAGATCCAGGAGAACACAGTGTTCCAGATCAGTCTGCACAGCTTTTGTCCAGAGAGCAGCATGAGTCACCGGAACAGAGCAGATTGCTAGCTTGCACAATTCATTAAGACAAATGTAAGGTATACTGATTTCCTCTGAAAAAAAAAAACAAAAAAAAAAAACTTGGCAGCTTTACAACAGCACTCCAGAGAATCCTCAAGTAGCTTTCCATACACCTTTAGAATGTCAGCTTGCTTTTTTTGCAGCTCTGTAGATGATTTATGCTGCCTGAATGGAAATGTATTATCTTAAATCTTTCAGCATGTTAGCCTATGCTTTGGAAACATACTCATACAACAGATCATTAATGATATATATACAATAGGTAGTATACTAAACAACTATTTTAAGCAGTAAGTTTGATACCTAATGGGCTGTGCTAGAATTAGAGCAATCTGACTGAAAACTGATAATGCTGAAGAAAATGTCTATTTGGTTGTTAAAGCAGGTTAGACTGCCTTTTAGTCCAACATTGGCTGCTAAATCCAGTTATGTCTCAATGCAATGGCGCCCCCAAGCGGTTACACGGCACTAATGCACTATGTCTCACCTCAGGCTACTGCTGTCAGGATTACCGTAACCGTTACTTTACAAAATCACTTTTGAAAATTTTGCTGAAATACTATAATTCATATAACACTACACTTTACTCAGTTTTTATTTATTTATTTTTTTTTGTTTTTTAAACTGATCTTCAAACACCCAAATTACAGCAATAACAGCACCATTAGAGCTGTAACACATCATGGCTCACTGGCTGTTAAGACAGTATTCTGAAGATAAGTAAGGCATAGGCAAACAATGATAAAATGTTTTAGACTACAGGGGAGTGAGATTAATTAGCTTTAAAGCAATGTCTGAACACCTTCAAATGAAACATAAACAACTGTTCGAGGCTTGATTTTTTTTATAGTCAACAAAACCTGCTAAAATGGTCCAGGAACAGCAGTAGACCTCGGCAACTCAAACTTTAAATAAATCATAAACGAAGGACTGATCCCAGGTCAGCTATCTCGGCGCCGGATATCGGTAAGTCAAGCGACGTGCCGTTTTCATGAGCGACTTCTACAGGAAATACCTTCCGCTGTGAAAAGCGTTTGTGAAGGGCTGCCATTTTACCGACCTTACGGTAAGAAGACGTGCTTCGTGTAGTTAACCGGTCGTGGCTGCTATACGTTCACTCGTGCACCGTGCGCAGGCTGTTGAGAGCATAACTTGTAGTAAACATACCGTATAGTTTGTTTAGTGTCACCACTTAAAGTTAGCTAACCTAGCTTGTTTACCGTTGTCTGTGAAGCTACTGTTAGCAGTTACTAATCCTAGCAGTGAACACTCTTATAACAAAGCCACAAAAGTATCACATTTACTTTGTTGTCCTGTCAGTTTGGCTTTAGATAACGTTACTGGGTTTAGGAGATATTTTATATGTGGTTATCTCACGTTATTGAGACCCACTGTTCGCCGAGCATTTGGCTAAATATTAGCAGTGTGTTCTCTTCAGATTTTACTAAACGTTGAGTTACCTGTAGCTGCTTGGACCTCTGAGAATACACGTGTGTGTTTACACAGTGAACGTAATGCATTAAATGAAATACAGCTAGCTAGTTTCAACCTTTATTTGTTTGTTTGTATTTTGTTTAATTTGTCAGCAGAGCAGATGAATTATGGGGTTCGGCGTGGTGCAGCTCATTTCTAAATCGCACCATGAAAACCTTCTGACTTCTCTGCATCAGCTGAGGCTGCAGGGGCAGCTGAGTGATGTGACGGTGCAGGTCGACTACCAGGGAGAGCTGCAGGAGTTTCAGGCTCACCAGGTGATGCTTGCAGCATCCAGTGGCTACTTCAAAAAGATCCTCCTCTGTCAGGATGCAGCCCGAGACAAATTATTACTGTCAAATATGCACTCCAATGATTTCTCCAAGTTCTTGGAATTTGTGTACACGGGTAAAGTTGAAGTTGCCAGAGACAAGATTGGTGATGTTCAAGCAGCAGCACAGTTTTTGGATTGTGAGGATCTGTCGGATGTTTGTAGTGAGGCCATGAGCGCAGAGATCTTCCTAGCAAATACAAAGAAAATGTCTTGTTCAAAAGTGGCAAAAAAAGATGACAAGAAACAAAAAATTATCAGGCAGCCTCCAAGCTCACCAGTTAAGCGGCAGCTCTCTGCAGAGAGCTTTGAGAAAGAAGCAACATTGAAAAGATTTAAAGTAAAGCACACAGTGACGAATGAAAAAAGACAAGCATGCAAGTTAAAACTGAGGTTGCGTGGCCATAAAGTCCTTCAGAGGCGTTTAATTACCAAAAGAGAGGCTGTTAAAAATCAAACTCAAGCTACCAGGGAAGTCACAGAGTATGAGGACAGCACCGAAGCCAAGGCTCAGCCAGAGAACCCAGCAGAGAAAGGAGATGAGCCTTCGATGGCAGCACCAGCCTCTGATAAGGATGATTGGGAAGTTGAGGAGGATTTGCAGAGTGATGATTCAGATGAAGCCTTGTTGTTATCACTGGGGGAGGAGGAGGAGGGACAGTCCAAGACGACATCCAACAGAACATCCAAAGCCCAGTTCGAGTGTGACAAGTGCCAGCGGACCTTCCACTATGAGAGAAGCTACTTGAAGCACATCAGGTAGGACATCGAGCGCTTCTAGATTTCATTTATTCACTGACATCGTAGCCCCCTAGTGCGTACACAGTCTTGCACGCCATGGTTCAGCCAAAAACTAGGACAAACCAACCTTCTTTATGTTTTATTGTTGATAATACAGTGTGCCACCCCATGTTCTAGTGTGGTCATTATAATGGTAAATGTGAGTCATCCAGTGGACCTTTGGTCTTACCTTGGAGCTCCCCAGTCACTCATCCAGTGACTTTATGTGCTTTATAGTGCTTGGGAGGAGAATCGCTGTTGAAACCAGCTGTTCTGTGCACTTTATAAAATTGTATTTGTGTTGCACTATGCCACACAGTTTTTGATCAGTTGTGAACATGTTGACACCAAAGTTAACTGTCATATTCCTGATGTCATGATTTATCAAACCAAGATGGAATAAGTTGGTTGTGCTCTAGCAACTCTCCGCTGTGATAGCGAGTGCATCAGTGCATTTTGTCACAATACGCTGGCCTTCTGATCCCGCTTTAACCTGTTTTCTTGGCTAGTACATACCATGGAATGAAAGCAGATGTCATCTATCGCTGCGAGACCTGCATGCAGACGTTCGCCAACCGCAGCAACCTGAAGATTCATGAAAAGCATGTCCACAGTAATGAGAGGCTCTTTGCCTGTGACTCCTGCGCAAAGACTTTCAAACGGAAGAAGGATGTTGTCCGCCATCAAAGACAGGTGAGGATATATGCAGTGTAAAACTAAGGAGTGCCATTTATCTTTGTTTTTTCCTGATTTGATCATTTCCGTCTTAACGTCCCTCTTGCTTCTCAGGTACATGAACGCAATAATCTGCAACATGTCTGCTCTGAGTGCGGAAAATCTCTTAGCTCCAAAACCGCTCTGTTGTTGCATGAGAGGACACACACGGGAACAAAGCCTTTTGAGTGCACCGACTGCAAGGCCAGGTTTACCCAGAACTCTGCTCTCAAGATGCACCGCAGGTGCTGAGCTGGTTAAGTTAAACTTCAAACTGGGGTTTGCCTAGGTGCTAAAAATAAGCCAGGATTTAAACTGAAAGTTCACAGGGTTTAGCTATTTAAATAAAGCTGGAAAACAAAGAGTAATAATGGCTTCATGATAGTTGTAAATGTTTATGTATAAATACTAATTACATATGTATAAAGTTGAGGGCTAAACTTGTCTGTTTCACCATGTGTAGAATTCACACAGGAGAGAAGCCATTTTCATGTGATCAGTGTGATGCCCGGTTCACTCAGAAGCACATGTTGGCCTATCATAAGAGATCACACACAGGTCAGAACTATTACAGCACATTTCTGAGTTGTTATCTTTAGTTTTTTTTTATGTAACCACCCCCACTAGTGTGTGTCTTAGCTAAGTACATCTTTCTCTCTTGTCAGGAGAGAAGCCCTTCATGTGTGAGGCCTGTGGGAAGAGCTTTGCATCGAAAGAATATCTCAGACACCACTCAAACATCCACACTGGGTCCAAGCCGTACAAGTGTGAACAGTGTGGTCGAGGCTTCGCTCAGAGGAATTCCCTCCACCAGCATTTAAAAATACATACAGGCAAGTGTAGAAGTTATTGATACATTTGTTTTTAGAACACAATTTATTTTTACAGCTGAAAACCTAATTTGTTCATTGTTTTTTTTGTTTTTTTTAAATGTCCCCCTTAGTCTTCTATTTGCACTCTGGCATTGATGTGGTTTTCTCACACGATTGTTAGGTGAGCGTCCGTACAGTTGTAAAGACTGTGAAAAACAGTTTACCCAGCTCAACGCCCTTCAGAGGCACCAGCGGATTCACACAGGAGAGAAACCATACATGTGTGGCCTTTGTAGACGCACATTTACGGATAAGTCCACACTTCGCAGACACACTATGGTGAGCAGGGCTTATCTTACTGTAGCTGTATTATCTGAAAGGGTTTTCAGTTTCATTTCGACTGTGAGTGTGTGGTTACAGTGGTGATAAAACTTGTAGGATCAAAGTACTTACATTTGAAAACTGGAATAACTGCTTTGTAGTCGTAAGCCTCCACCAACCAGTCAGACTCATGGATATAATGCCTCCAGGCGTGGCTATCGCTGGCATGGAGGCATAGAGGAGGAATAATGGTAATGATATTAGAACTGCTGCACAGTGGCTACCTATGCATCATCTGATAAATTGTGTTTAAAGTACACTGATTGATCAGACTGTTGTCAAAATAACAAGCTCTTCTAACCTTCAGACCCATGACTCGGATGCTCCTTGGAAGACGTATCTTGTGGTGCTGGAGGGAAATGTGGAGGACAAGAAAACCAAAACTCCCACTAAGGGAAAGGCGGACAAAACAGAAGCAGAGGAGAAAAAGAGCACAGCTAGGAAAGGTGGTGGTAATGCTGCTGGGAAAACCAACACTGACTCCACTGTGGTTCCCACTGAGCCAGTCACTCTCTCGTCTGAATGGACCAGTCATGGAGCCATTGCTTTAGTGAGTCATAGTACACTTGGTGGGATCACTGTCATCCACACTGATGTGCCACCTGGGTCGCAGCTCCAGCCATTAGTAACCACTGAGACCACAGGGGCCAGCTTCATTTCTTTAGATGGCTCAGGTATCCCCTTCTCTTTACCTGTCTCTCTGTCTCACTCTATCCCCTTGTCCTCTGAAGCCTCCTCGACCACTCTGTCTGTACCTTCAGTTCTCTCAGTCCCTGTGTCTGATAGCTCGCTGGCGTCAGCCTCAGAGATGCCAACAGTCTCAACATCATCTGTGCTGGAAGCTGCTGCTTCACAGACCATTTTAGCTCCTGCTTCAGAGACTAAGGCCCCTCCTGAGATGGATATGTTACACCCTGATATTCAGACTGTGATTGTTGGTGCTGAGGTTGGTGGAAAAGAGCAACTGTTGTCCACAGTGATGAGCAACAAAGGACGGGAGGTAACCGCTGACCACAAGGAGGACTTGACTCAAAATTCTGTGTAGAAAATTCTTGTGCAAAAATGTATCTTTATCTGGGTGTAGAAATTTAAAATTCCATTTCAGCTGGTCTATTCATGCTATTTTAAGTGCACACTTTGGAATTAGATATGTTTGAATGTGTGTTCTGACTATGTGGTGTTTTATCATTAGTGTTTAACAATCAGACCTGGATGTGTGGTTGGTAGATGTAATTAATCAATGTACATATACTGTTATAGGAGGCACAAATCATTAAATACTAATTAAACTAAGGCCACAGTTCATTACATGTAAACCCCCCCCCCCCCATACAGTATATCAGACACCGTTTGACCTTGTCTCATGTACTGCAGGAGTTACAGAATACTGTTTGGTCTGGGAACCTTGTCCGAGTCCTTGGCGGCTACAGAACAGCACCTATGGTGTTTTGTCTGCTCGAAAAACTGCTCTATTAAACTGACTGTGATGAATACATGTAGATAAAGTATTGGACATACTGAATCTGTCACACTAACTATATGTGGAAAGTGCCGTAGCTGCAGATGCCAGGCTTCTACATCCAGGGCGGTGAACTACTCAGCTGTACAAAGACTTGTGTTCGCTCCCACAATTCCTGGCTCTGGCTCATTAGTTTAATATACAGACCATAGACTGTATATCCAGTGATGTATTCTGATCCTGCCTTGTACAGTACACACCAAAACAATAATTAGTTTTCCTAAATTCAGCAGCAGTTTTCTAAATTTAATTCTGCTTTCTCTTTTGTGGCTTCATGTATGTGTTTAAAGAAAAGCATAGTATGTTTTAATACTATTAAAACTAATTCTTGTGCAGCCTGACTGAAGAAATAAAAACATTTAAAAATTGTTGTGCTCAGATTGATTTTGAAATTCTTTCCAGTGTTTTTAGACATCATTAAAGCCATCTTTACACTGCCTGAGTTCATTTAACTCAGAGTTAAGCTTGTGCATGATGACTATAAAAAGTCATCAATGGAGCCTTGATACTAAGATGCATCACACCAACGGGTAAAGAGCAGAGCCACTCTTTTAGTCCAGCAGCAGGTACAGAACCTGAATTAGAGTAAAGAAAAGATCACTCATTTATTTGTTTAGCAGACTTGGACTTTTTTATTAGATGGTAACAGGCTGGAATCCTACTGTTTGTTCAGTAATTTAAATAGGCTATATTTATTCAGCTGTAAGCTGATGGGAACGTGACACACCCTACCAGCCATTCTTGTGCAACTGCACTGCCTCAGACACTGAGTTAATGCAAAACGCAAATGTATTCTTTATTATGGTGACTTGAGGACAACTTTTGTATGCATGTGAAGGAAAGATAAAAAGGGAAGACGTGAGATTAAGGGATCTTTTGTTTCCTTTTGGTGTTTGCATGGCTTTGTTGTCATTTTGTATCTGTTGCATTAAGCTATAGTTCTGACCTCAAATAAAGTTACTGTCAAAAAGGTCACTTGTGTTGGCATCATCCCTGTACTTGACCCACTGAAAGACTGTAAATGAGGAGTTGGGGGGGACTGATTTGACAGAAAATTAATTAAAACTGCTTTGTTGAGTAACTGATTCATTTTGTAAGAAAAAAAGGCCAAGACAACCTCTCTCTGGTTCTTCTTGCTCTGCCACGTTTCAAGGGGGAGCAGTTTCTGCCAATGATGCTGCTCAGTAGGTAAGGTCAAAGGCAGCAGGTAGCTGGGATACAATAGCTTTATTGTCCATTTGCACAACCATACAGATCATATCCGAGGCCCGCTATCACTCCACCTGGAAGAAGCTGGATAAGCAGGGTGACTGACCCTTTTGTAAAAACTTTGGCTCACACTAGCAAATTTACCAACACTAAGCTACAATGACATGCTTAGGAACTGACCGTTTGGAAGGTGCACTGCGGTAGTAAACCTTCACGGGTTCACAACACAGCACAAGATGAGTGACTATTGATGCACATTAGCCCAGGACTACTGCCCTGGGAATAAGGAGGAAGGTTTCCTGTGCTTTTCATTCAAAAAAAGAGTTTTCCCAGCAAACTATAAACGGCATCTGACAGATTCAAACATTCAACGTATTATTACATTAACAAAGCCTAAAGTAACACTAAATAACCTTAAACGTAATAAAGTCATAACTACATATGGCCAAAATCACCAGCTAGTGATTAGTACGAATGTTTAACAGTCTGCAATTGGTGCATATCGTTGCCCTCTGTGAGTAAGAAAAAGGTGACCACAAACTTTTTTGAGTTTAAAGAAAAATCATGACAGATTTCTTCTACTTCAACACAATATAAATGAAGATAATAGTGCGTTCTTTAAATCCATACACATCTTGGTAATCCTATGTACAACAAACTGAAACATTTAAATATATAATAAACTAATTTAAAAAAAAGAAGAAAAAAAAAAAACAAGCTGCATCTGACTAGGAAACAATAACTGTACAAAACATGCAGTGCTTGTTGTCAGTACTAACAGAGTTGATAGAATATACTGCTCTGAAATGCCCCAGGAAAGATTTTAGCAGAAAAAGTTATGCAGCAATCGTGTAGACAGAGGTGAGGGCGAGAGGATTTACAATCCAGCTAGATTCAGATAGAAAGCAAGAAGAACATTTGAACAGCGTAGTAGCGAGCAGTGGAATATTCAAAATCATCAGCGGACACTCCTCGCCAGATGCTATACACAGTGAGGTGCGTTTGTGTGGAAGCATGCGTAATGGATTTGTCCTTCCATACTGCATTTCATGGGTTTCTTTCATTTCAGATCCCCTTCATCATCCTGGATGGTCTTTTTGATACGCAGCAGCAGGGTTGTGTGCCACTGGTCCAGACGCGAGATCGAGTCAAACTCCTTTACCTGCAGGCAGACAAGGGACACGCCCGATAAGCAAAGTAGCATTTCAATTAAAAGGTTCTAGTCACTGAATTTGTTAGGCTATTTTGTGATTACATTGCACAATAAAGTGTCGCAGTAGTGAGTCCTAAAACCCAAAAATAAGTGAGCATTTTTGCACTTGTGGTTCCCTCGCCCGGCAGTCAGTGGGTTTTTGGTTAGACCCTTGAAATAAGGTCTGTGGTTCACACAAGGCCAATACATTTTCACATTTTGTTCTATGATATAAAATAAGTCAGTAAATACCCGACTTGTGATTTTTTAAAATGCTTTTATGTGTCTTAAAAAAAGGCAGTTGCTAACAAGTGGCTAACAGAGTACAGAGGCTGATGGGGATATTAAGCATCATCACAGAGAACACAGAGACTCATGTACTCACTAGTCCGACTTTATACAGTCTCGTTATGTTTAAACTCGTACACTTACAAACTATTGTAACTGACACAGCCTTGATCACTAGATCAGGTCACACTGAGAGGAAAGGTTTTTGTAGAAGAGGTAAGCGAGCTGAAACAAACTACACGCTGATGTTGAAGTCAAGAGACCATGGTGTAGTTTGTTTATAGCCTAACAATAGCTACTTCTGGTGATTGCATTTGGGCTTTAAAAATCATAAAAGTACTGTTCTCCTTATTTCTACCACCAGCATTGCATTTGTATGATATGTGAAATGTGATGCATTTCTCCAAACCTAACCTAATGTACATGACAACTCTTCCCTCTCCGACTCTGAGTTAACTTTGATAAATCTGTTAGGAGCTCAACAACAGTGATGCACTAGATGAGTTGGTGCTAGTTTCATATAAACACACAGTTCTAGGAGACTGAATGGAGACCTGAGATCCAGCCATCAGTGTTCCTGAACACACAAGGCATCCAACAAAACTACAACACCTGGAGCAGTGGGAATCCAAAGGCCTTTACTATAAAGCTTGAGAACTTTCATAGCGTATTCAAGACTTACCGCCTCTGTGAAAGCTTCGTTGTTCTGTTCCTCATGAGCCTCAAGAAGTTTCTGTTAAAACAGAAAAAGTAGGTTACTCACAGAAATGAAAGAGATTAAGGGTAAAAGGTAAGCCATCAGATTCCTCTGCGTGCTTAGCTACCTTCAACAGCTTGCATTCTCTGGAGTCTGTAAAAGCCGGGAACATCTCCTCGTATTTTTCGACAGCAATCTGCGGAGACATGGCGTGTCACAATTTTTCCACAACTCCCTGTCCCAAATCCTGAGACTGAACCACAGAGGTATAAACTTGCCTTAGCATTGAGCTCATCGACAATGAAATGACAGAGGGCCGCTTTGAAGAAATACTCTTTGGCGCTGTATTTCAGCAACGGGTTGTCCATCGTGTTGGCTCCAACCTGGATACGAGCAAACCATACAAAATGCATTAAATTAAAAAAATGGTCGTTCATTGAGAAGATGCATGCATTGTACACAAATACAAGTGGTACATACTTGCTCGTAGATCTCAATAGCCTTCTGGTACTGCTCCAGCTGAGCACAGTAAGCCCCCACCTTCAGCAGACACTTGTTGGCAGAACTAAGGAAAAGTGCATGAGACATTCAGTGTAGCACAGATGTAATGGAACAGAGCTCTGAACACAGGCCAGTAGCTGTCATATTCAAGTGGTTCATTAAGTTATGAGTCTCACAGTGAACTAACATGCACAGAACCGACACCAAAACAGCTACTGTAGATGCCAATCAGCCATCGTTAACATTATTATTTCCACCTGTGCTTTTCCTACTGTGTCAATGTCAAAAAACTTTTGAGTACATCTGCACATTTATATTAGCTTCTTAGCTGAAGTGGTCTTAAAGTAGGGACATCTAATGCTAAAATAAATGCCAATGCATCAGTATGTTTGATATGTTTGTGCGCAGCTTCCCTCCATAGTGCTGTGCCACTTTGTGATATATTAATTGTGTTGACCTTTGTAAATGGTTTTGTGCTAGGCCACTTATTTAAGCCACAGACTCACAGAATTTGCCTTGGTGTTTCTTTTGCGTCTCGCTGTCTGTAGGGGTTACCCTTCTGATTCCTGTTATCTTCAGAGCCCTACTGCTCAACCTCCATTTTTGTCTTAAATAAGTTGTAAGGCCTAAGATGGCCTTATTAGATATTTTTCTTTTGGTTTCTTTTCTTCTGTATGTGTCATAGGTGCTCGCTGTTCTTTATGTTTGACTATTTTGCACTATAGTTCCTCCATTTGTTCTAATAAATTAAACGTATCACAGCCAGGTTTCCTTTTATTCACGTTACATTCTCTTACCCCTACACAAGCAGGGATGTAACATGCATCTAAAAAAAAAAGTGATACGTGGGAAATGATTACCTCATGTCACTGTTGAGCTATTTTGGCCGGGTGATAAGTAAATGAATCAAAGCTTGACATAAATTAACAGAAGTCCCTCACAGCTACTACTGATATTTAGAGCATCATTCATTGATGATAACAACCCATTACATTTTTTGACATATGCAGTCTTAGACCTTTATAGTAGGGGTCATTGTGCATGGCAGTATTAGAGCTGAAAAAAGCTGATAATATAGTGTTTTATCTTTGTAACAGAAAGAGGACAATACCTGTTTGATTCTTCTCCCTTGTAGTAGTCTGCTGCCTGTTCATAATGTGCAATAGCCTTTACAAAAGAAAAGAACACTGCAAGTTTAAGTGTTACTCAAAACAAATATGCCTTCTAACACTTCTAACACATTTATTAGTAGTATTATCTGACTATGTAAAAGTACCTTTTCAATATCCACCAGATCAGACTCGTAGATCTCTGCAATAGTGATGTGGTGTTTGGCTGCGATGGTGAATCTTCCCTGGGGGAGGTGGAGGAGAAGAGAAGTCAGTACTAACTGGATCTCTCCACAGATGCCTCTTCTAAGTGCAGAGAGGCAAGGTCAAATGGTGGCCCAAAGCTTCATGTCTACAAGGTTTTAGCTTTTTAAATGAATTGCCACTAAGAGGAACATCCAGTAGGGAACTCAATCACAGTGTCAGTGTCAAATAAACAAATGTGTGCTAGAAATATGTCTCGATAAGAGAGAGAGTACTAGTTACAACTAGACACTCCTCTGCCAAAAATAAAAATGGCTGGATTTACTGTGGTGGATGCGAACAGGGATGGACACTTTCTATGTGCATCTTACCATGTCTGTGTATATATCGATGGCAGCATTTAAACACTTGATTGCCTCTTTTGGCAGCATAAAGGAAAGAGGAGTTAGACATCAGTTAGACAGCACCTTATTCAAGACGGTTTCAACAAGGTGAAAGAACATTTTAAAAAACTTTCTGTAAACACTTATACTTTTAGTTAGATGTTTGATGCAAAAGATAAAATATAAAAAAAAAACCATGAGCAAGACCCCCCTCCTTTGTCTTCTGTCTAGAAACCAAATTAAAGACACCACAGAGAGTCTTACAATAAACCACTGGTGCATAACTCCTACATGATCAATGGCTCAAAATATCAACAACAAAGCAACTAAGGCAGATTTGGGGAAAAGTGTACATTTGTGATAAATGACTGCAATAACCGTCTTGTGTGCAACTATACAGTCCATTAAGCACAATCATTAAGCTATAACTGTTAGAATTAGATTAGGGTTATTATGAATGAAAAGGGTTAAGTTGTGTACTGGAGTTAGGTTTGAACTCAGTAAACATGAAACCTCACCATTAGGATCAGACTTCTTGTAAGCATTTCCTGCATCGATGAAACTAGTGGCAGAGTCATGTTTGTTCTGCAGCTGCATATGAAGGCGTGCAGCCTTGCAAAATGCATTTCCAGCACCTGAAAGGAAAGGATGAAATATTTATGCACATAATTTCACTTTAGCTTGTGCTTTGCAGTTATGGGGCTTAAAAAACACCACATAATCCTTCAGCATCTCAAGTGTGTTGAAATTTTTAAGTTGGATATCTTAAGTAGAAGACAGCCTATCGCACCATTCCAGTTCTTGGCCATCTTGAACATGTTGGCTGCTCTGCAGTACATTTCACATGCCTCTTCCACTTTGTGCTGGCCTCTAGAAAAGCAAAGAAAATGAAAGCTGTTGTTAACAGCAGAAAAGCTCTTTGGCATACTAAGGTCAAAATGGAAAAAAAAAAATCAGTCTGGCCTATATGCTTTCTAATAGATTCTGTTGCATTTCAAGGAAATGCAATGCTCAGGCTTGTGGGCTGGTTTATACAAATCCCTCTCTGCATGGGAGCTCCCTGCAGTTGTAATAACAATCTGGCCATTCAGTCATGCTAGTGGATTACATCACTGACTGGTCATCTGCAGCATTAGCAATGTAAAGCAGTTGTCACCCACAAGAACTGCAGAGTAGCAACATCTGGAGTCTTCTAGAAGAGCGAAACAAAGCTTTCCTTGCTGTCTCTATACTGCATTGTAACTACAATAAGGATGCATTTATTGCAGATATGCGTATTAAGAAGCTTCCCGATGTCAATGGTAGATAACAAGCCATGGTTAAAAATCTAGAGTGTTTGCTTTGCAATAACCTTTTGAGGAAAAAGAATTACTATTTAATATTAAAGTACTTGCCAAAATCCATTATCACTTTATTACCAGTCAGATAAGCCAAACCTTGAAACTCAGATACCTTCTTGAGGAATGTTTTGACTCTGTTTAAGTGCGCTATATCCAAGAGAGCGTCGTTTTTTTCAATACAGCTAACTATGCTAACTAAAACCAAGTTGTTATTATTACTCTAATGTCTTTTGCTACAGGTTTAATATCTAGCTTAACTAACGTTAAGTTAACTACTATAATGTCTTGCTAGTTAACGTATGAAGAACTAACTAAATGTATAGCTACAAAGGAACAGGCTGCATGCCAACTTTGCTAGCTCAAAGAGCTAGGCAGTGCTAGCTCTTTGGTGCAGTGCTGTCATACCCTCCAAACATCCCTCCCAGAAGAGAGCCAGAGGACTTGACTTTTTTGTCAGCGTCGGCCATTAGCTGAATCGCTTCCTTCTCTTTCCCAGAGGTGTCCATTTCTTTGCTATGTTTAGAAACAAACTTATAGTAAGACAGAAAATAGCCGCAAAGCACTCAGCTATGGGGATTACAGTCTATAGGTTTATTTAGCGTTGGCGTGGTCCAGGGTGGCTTAGTCGAGTACCGTAGCATCATGGGAATTTGAGTACTTTAAGCAACAAACCCAACTGGCGTTCAATACTTAGAAAAACTACAACTCCCAATGAAACATGAAGTTTGTTTTATATCTCGTGTTATGTAATATTTGACGACATGTCGCGATGATATAGTTTAATGTTTTGTTTATTATTGTCGATAAAATGTACACAGCATGAAATCAGACATTTTAAAAAACTTTTCTGTAAAGCTAAAATACAATAAATTATCATCCAAATCTCCAACAGAAGCAACATGGACAGTGTACGTTGATTTTCTGTACAGCAGAGGACGCCAAAACCTTAACGTTAGAGTTTACTCGGTCCACGCCCTGCACTGACTGGCACACAAACCTGGAGTCATAGCTTATCTTCTTAAGAACACATGGGCTTGCTGTGACATATGATGTGCCTGCAGCTATGAAATTCTGTACCAGTTAATTAAAACCAGACATGGTCTCTAAGTGAGAACATAAACAGAGGAACCTTAACCACAGAGGTCTCCTTGTAATTTGAAAGCCCAGTGAGTGGTGAAGTAGGTTATGGAGGTCATGGCCTGTAATATAGCAAGATCACCTGTCACCTACATAGCTCACTACAGCACCTGTGCTAACACATATTTACTAAAGGTTAAGCACCTGTGTAATAATTATCTAAGAAACGAGAATTCTTGGCTTAAGCATCCTCCAGTTGCCCAGGAAGATGCAAATAAAAGTATTTATCAGTGATAAATGAGTTTTAAGGTTCACTCTGATACACACTGCCAAAGACAACCTATCTGAGATTAGAAAACCTATCTTATCAGTTGTGACTATGACTCCTGAGTATGCTTGCACTACCTTCTTAATCATTAAGTAATAGTTCATATGCAGGGTCAGCGGTATCATATGGGTGTCAGTACATGCAGGGCTGCTACACATGCAATCAGTAAGATTTTAATGGTTTGCATCCTTATCTTTATATCTTACTGTTTTATGTAATATTGGTACCAGTCCATGTAAACACACTGTAGCTGAAAAGCCTTGATAGAAAGATAGTTGGGCTAAAATCAACTGTATTTCTCACATCTCACAATTGCTTAATTAATCAATTATAATTTTTGATTAGTTGATTAAACATTTGGTCTGAAAAATGTAAAACACAAACAAACAAAAAAAAACCACATGCCTATTAGGAGTTTGCAAACGCCATGGTATTTACCCTATTTCATAACAGCAATAAGCAAAAAAAAAAAGCCAAATGAAATGTCAAAAATTTAGTCTATTAGCAATTTTATAAAATGTCATGTTGCAAGATTTCAAGAAATAGCTTTGTGAATAATTCAGATATTCTGAAATTTTATGTCAGAACTATCTGAAAGTTTCAACTTGAGCTGTTGACTTAAGTGTATCTTAGCAACGGCGATACAGCAAAAGAACAAAATACAGATCCAATTAAATCAAGATGTTACCTACAACCTCCAAATTCTTCAAAACTTAATTGATAAGCAAGGAAAGCCTGCAGCAAGACAAAACAAATAAAAACAATTGACAACAACTTGAAAAAGAAAAAAGCCAACAAAGTAGACAAAGAGATTCTGATTATAGTTACATCACCATTTATACTATTCAGGCCTGAAGTTGCACACAAGATTCATTCATTGTCTCTGGTTATAATACATACAGATATACAAACCATGCATCATTACACATTCATCATGTTGTGATTAAGAAACTGTGTGATAATACAAACATATGGACAATAGAGTATCGATGGTTTTATGTTCAAAATGCAGCATGAAACAATCTCACCAATCTGCCAAGTACTGTGTATTTTAACAGGGTGTACGGTCCAAAAATAGTGGCGCCCATGCATTTCTGTCAAATAATGCACCACTTCTCACTCGACCAAAAAGCTCTATTTCAGTTTCATCTGTCCACAGGACATTCTCTCAGAAAGATCATAGCTTCATCAGGTAAGTTTCGGCAAACTCCAGTCTGGCTTTTTATGTCCCTGTGTCAGCAGTGGGGCCCCCTGGGTCTCCTACAATAGGGCCCCTTGTCATTCAGATGGTGATGGATAATATGAATTGACACTGTTGCACCCTGTGCAGGTCGGCTTGAATTTGTTTGGAAGTTGATCAAGGTTCTTTATCCACTATTCAAACAATCTTTCGTTGCAATCCGTTATCTAATTCTCTCTTTCATCCATGTCCACGGAGATTATCTTACAGCGTCATGGGCTGTAAACATCTTGACAACGTTGCACACAGTGGACACAGGAACAGCCAGAACTCTGGGGATGGACTTGGAGCCTTGAGATTGTCCGTGCTTTTCCACTATTTTGGTTCTCAAATCCTCAAAAAATTCTTTGCTCATCTTGCTTTTCTCTGTGCTCAATGTGGTCCACACAACACAAAGGCTGAGTCAACTTTTCTCCATTTTAGCTGGTTCCAAGTGTGATTTTTATAATGCCAGGACCTGTTGGTTGCTGAAATATCATATGGTCAAAAGTATTCAGACCCTTTGATGTGACACTCATATATTTAACTTAGGTGCTGTCCATTTCTTCTGATCATCCCTGAGATGGTTCTACACCTTCATTTGAGTCCAGCTGTGTTTGATTATACTGATTGGACGTGATTAGGAAAGCCACACACCTGTCTATATAAGACCCTACAGCTCACACTGCATGTCAGAGCAAATGAGAATCATGAGGTCAAAGGAACTGCCTGAAGAGCTCAGAGACACAATTGTGGCAAGGCACAGATCTGGCCAAGGTTACAAAAAAAAATTTCTGCTGCACTTAAGGTGCCTAAGAGCACAGTGGCCTCCATAATCCTTAAATGGAAGACATTTGGGACGACCAGAACCCTTCCTAGAGCTGGCCGTCCGGCCAAACTGAGCTATCAGGGGAGAAGAGCCTTGGTGAGAGAGGTACAGAAGAACCCAAAGATGACTGTGGCTGAGCTCCAGAGATGCAGTCGGGAGATGGGAAAAAGTTGTAGAAAGTCAACCATCACGCCAGCCCTCCACCAGTCGGGGCTTTAGGGCAGAGTGCCCCGACAGAAGCCTCTCCTCAGTGCAAGACACATGAAAGCCCACATGGAGTTTGCTAAAAAACACCTGAAGGACTCCAAGATAGTGAGAAATAAGATTCTCTGGTCTGATGAGACCAAGATAGAACTTTTTGGCCTTAATGCTAAGCGGTATGTGTGGAGAAAACCAGGCACTGCTCATCACCTGGCCAATACAGTCCCAACAGTGAAGCATGGTGGTGGCAGCATCATGCTATGGGGGTGTTTTTCAGCTGCAGGGACAGGACGACTGGTTGCAATCGAGGGAAGGATGAATGCGGCCAAGTACAGGGATATCCTGGACGAAAACCTTCTCCAGAGTGCTCAGGACCTCAGACTGGGCCGAAGGTTCACCTTCCAACAAGACAACGACCCTAAGCACACAGCTAAAATAACGAAGGAGTGGCTTCACAACAACTCCGTGACTGTTCTTGAATGGCCCAGCCAGAGCCCTGACTTAACTGAATACTTATGACCATGTGATGTTTCAGTTTTTCTTTTTTAATAAATCTGCAAAAATGTCAAATTCTGTGTTTTTCTGTCAATATGGGGTGCTGTGTGTACATTAATGAGGAAAAAAAATGAACTTAAATGATTTTAAATCATTAAAGGCCAACTATGGACACAAAAAAGGCATAACAGCAGAAAGAGAAAAACAGCATCATCGTCATCTTTATAATAAACAATATGCAGCACCATTACACTCTTTAAAATATTCATATACAGACCAAATAAATAATCAATGTATAATTTCCCAATTTGATATTGTCCCACTATTACAGTACAAAAACCTCAGTACAGACTGTTGTACTCCCTAAACTAGTTGTTGTCTCTCACAGAAAAAGGCACAAAAAAAGGCAATTAAAAATATGTGTATGGATGCAATAATATTTTGGTAAAACATCCACTATCCTGACAGACATCAATTAAAAAAAACTTATGAGAAGACAAGAATGGCAGACACAAACTGTAAGTGAGAGTGGAGAGTGGAAAGGGGAGATGGTTGAAATGGTTTTACTCTTGTCTCCATTAAGATGGGGGGGGCAGAAGAGATAAACCCTGTCAGAATTTAAGAATACATACACAACCTGATCTCTTACTTTGAGCAAACATGTCTTTGTTTATTCAGCAATTTTCACCTTGGTCCTTTTGTACATATGTGCAGTGTAATGTACTGAGATGTATGTTAGGTTTAATTATGAGGAGCTGAGGCTAGAATTGGGCCCAGTACTGCAAGCACGGGCCTTGGAGGCAATGCACGGGACCATGGAACAGGGAATGGAGTAGCAGGAACAGGTGGAGCTCTTCAGGGTTTCCTCTGTAATAACCTCCTGCAGGGAGTGTTGCTCCTCTACTTGGAATATGTCTGACTGCTCTCCTTGGTCCTCACAAATACTACAGGAAAAGGAAAGACATTCTTATTAGATGATGTTAGATAAGTGACAGTAGCTAGTGTGTACTGGTGCATCACAAGTTTCTTTGAATGTTGTCATTCAAAAGCCAAGGTGATGGAGTTTTCCTGATCCAAAAACAATCAGCTAACTAATATTAAAAAAATAAAAAATAAAAATGTCACTGACAGGGCAAAGGGACTGAAATATATACAGCACTTCACCGCATGAGTGAGAATATGCATATACAATATGTAATGCACATCACACTAGCACATGTAAGCCAAATCATTTATAAGGCAATCAGCTTCAGCTTTAACTGTATCACAGCAGACAAAAAAAAAAATCTTCACATCTGTAAAACTAAATCTTCAAGAACTCATTCTGTTACACTGAATTACAATTCACTTGGAACCAGCCATTTAGGCAACACAATTTTGTAAAACATTAACATGTTATGAAATGATGGTATGATTATACCATCCATAGAAACTTGCTAAATGATAATAATGAATTATCAGTCTGCACTACGGAGTAGTCCAGTGGAATTTATTGCTTGTACTGTACAATAAACTGCTCTCAACTCCTTAGCAAAGCGATAGGGTTACTTTACAGTGTTTTTAGTTTTTTTTATGCACCTATGTAATTACAGCTGCTTTCATTTTGGATTGGGTGGTGAATGCACTGGTTGCCATTTTGCCAGTGAAAAGGAGCCTTTTCTAATTTGTTTTAATGAGTAAAAAGGATTTTGGTCACCATCTGTACATTCAGGGCATTTTTTTTTACCTTTCTGGCATGTGCCATGTTTGTTGTAACAGTGCCCGGGGGCATGACTCACAAGATGTCAACTATTAATGGGGCAGCAAGTGTAGTTTTGGATAAACTTAGCAGTTTTAATGGGGTATCTTACTTTAATAACCTGCACAAAAACAGATACAGTCCATGCTATCAGGTCGAGTTCCATGTAGGACTAACATCCTCCCCAGTCAAATATGGGAAATGAAAGTATCATTCCATCTCCATGTAGACAACAGACATTGTTCTAGTAAACCAAAACCTTCTTTCCAAAGAGGGCAAATGTCATTCATTTGCTACATGCCATTGTATAAGTGTTATGGAGAAGATGGTCCCCCACTGAGTCCCTCTTCCCAGGCTGTGTATTCTTCACAATGCCAATTAGGGCCATCCAGCATTAACAACAGAAGTGGGAACATTTTCACTGACTGAGAATACCATTGGTCTCAGAGGGTAAGGTCAAATCATAGTACGAGTCATCGGCCCCATCTCTTAAAGAATAAGGCCAGTCATTTTCTATATTATTTTCACCGCTCCCCACACAGAGAAACTGACAACGACTTGCCTCTTCTTCTTCTACCTTCAGCTGTTCCCGCTAGGGGTCACCACAGCGAATCATCAGTTCCCAACAAACCAATGATTTGCATGTTAAACTTTTATGCTGGATGCCCTTCCGGACATGACAATGAATTGCCTCTACTCATCATTAATGTCTGGCAGCGTGTCAGTCCTGGGTCATCTTCTTTGTCTGCGCTATAGACCTCTGTTGTTGTTCACAAATTATTAAAAACACACCGCTGACATATATGTTCATTTGCAAACCCCAGACCCAAGCACAAGTAGCTGTTGGAAAGTAAACAAAGAGTGTGACTATGACTCGTGCTATCTTCATGAAATTATAGCCGCTCAGAGCCTTTGGGGACTGGGGTTTCATATTGAAAAACGTGCCACCCAGTGCAGTGGTGCGTTTCCCTGATGTGTTTTTAACTGTTTATGAACGGTGGAGATTCATCACAAGACAAACAAGATAATCCAGGACTGACAGACATTAACTGTGAGTAGAAGCAATTCATTGGTGCTTCTAGTCTCTGCACGGAGAATATTGAAAATACTATTAAAATAGAAAATGACCAGCCTTATCTTTTAAAGTAACACACTCAGAGAAGGAAATGCATAAGGTGCTTTTGGATCAGAGGAACTTTTTCAAAGCGAGACTGCACCACAGGAACTAAGAATAATAACAGCTCTTAAAATGTTTTGAGTCCAATAATCCAAAAAGGCAGTAAAAAAGGCATTTGACACAATCAATCATGAATTATTAATGGACAAGTTAGAAAAATATGGGATCAGAGGAATTGCTCTGAAATGGATTCGTAGTTATTTTGAATCCCATGGGTAGGGGTGTGGCTGTCCGGGTATAGGTGTCTATGCGTTGTGTACAAAAGCAGAGCATTTAAGTTTCACAGGAGCTTAGGAAAATAAAGAAATGGTGCATTAGTAATATAGTATATCTGAATTTGAATAAAACTGAATTTATGATATTTGGGAATCCCAGATTAGACAATGAATTTCAATTTAATATTTAGGTACTTAAAATTAACTTTCCAGGTGTCATAGTTAATGACAAATTGTCTTGGAAATTGAATATCAGATATTTTCAGAACAAAATAGCAAAAATATATTGATATTGGCAAGGGTTAGATATATTTTGGACGGGAAAGCACTACACGTTTTGTATTCTTCATTGATTTTACCATACTTAGAGTATGGCGTTGAAAACTGGGGAAATACATACAAAAGCTCACTTCAACCATTGTATATATTACAAAAAAGAGCGATAAGAATTGTGCATAAGATGGGGTACAGGGATCACACATGTAGCTTTCATACAGTCTAAATTGTTAAAATGTTTTGATTTAGTGGGATATAAGACTGCTGTGTTTATGTATAAAGCCAGGAACAATTTATTACCTGGTGGAATTCAAAAACTATTTAATGAAAGGGAAGGGGGATACAATTTAAGGGGTCAGTTAAATTTTAAAATTCATGCTATACGTACAACCAAAAAAAGATTCTGTATTTCCATAATGTTAACACTTTGTAATAATTCTTTAGTATATTACTTGTGTGGTGTAGAAGATAATTATCTAAGTATGTAATTATGTAAGAATGTGAACAAACTGTAATAATCTTTTAGTATATTACTTGCGTGATGTAGAACAAAATTATCTGTGTAGAAATACTGCTTGCAAACCAATGATGGTAAGATGATGTCATGGGGTAGGACTGGATAAGTCTGACTTCTTTCTACTCCATTCAAGCATGTACTAGGTATAAGCAAATTGATATTGGATTAGCATTTGTGGATATGTGTGAAATTATGTGTGTTGACATATTGACTGTCTTTACATGTTTGAAAGAATAAATCAAATCAAATCAAAGATAGCAAATGGAAGATTTGATTGGATAACTAAAGAATATTCTGATTGTATTGAACCAGTTTCACTAGAGCAGCTGCTGAAGGCGTCAACGAGAGTAGTGCAACTTGTTAGCCTATAAAAAGCATCCAGTGCAATCACACCTTCTGAAAAGAAGCCAAACTACAGTATCAGCTGATCACCTAAATACTGTACAGGTGCACGTAATATAAAATATGTTGTGACAACTGACAAAAGGTTGCTGAGAAGTGAACAGCTATTCATCTGAGGTTTAAATGCATGTCTGTCTTGGATCAAGTTATTTGAGACAAATGCAAAAACATGCCTTGGTACACATACTGTACTGAAGCCAGTATGTTAAGTAACACTGTCTCATGCACTAAACAAGCCATTCAGGCGTGGTGCCTCCTTTGCTTGAAAAATTAAATTAAATATCAATCAAGCATATGATAAGGACAACTTTTAAATGCTGATCCAAAACAAATTACACAGGCATAAAAAAAGTGAAACCTAGAAATCAGCTAGGGAGACTAGCCTCAGAAATGATAAACATGGCAGTTGACCAGTCAAACAAGCATGTAGGGTACAATCCAAGCTGTAAGAAAATCCAGAAAGCTGAATCATCCGTTGCCACTGAAACACAAAATACTATACTTTCAATGTATAGGACATACAGTACTGTGTAAAGGTTTTAGGCACTATGGATCTTCAGTCCAATAACATCAAGGAGGTGTCTGAATGGCCCCAAATTCATTCTGCAGCATGACAGCAACCCCAAGCATAAAACCAGAGTCATAGAGAACCATCTTCAGAGACAGGAAGAACTTTATGTCCTGCAAAAGGTGGTCTGGCGCCCACACAGCCCTGATCTCAACATCATGGAGTCAGTCTGGGATTACATAAAGAGTCATCGAGACAGCCTAATCCACAGGAGAACTGTACTTGCATAGCTCTTTTGTACCAAACCAGGAAAAAGCACTTTACAAAT